TAAATCATAAGGCAGGTATGTTGTATCAGTATATTATTTTAATGATAACACATTGAGAGAATGGCGCTGATATTTTATTTCATCAGTCGTACATTCTTCTTTGTGATTATTAAGTTGAATACTTTATGATACTGAATTAAATTACTAATTTTTCTTTATAGAAAACATGGTACAAACGCCCATCAACATCGAAAATCAAATATTTCCATACAATCTTATGTTTATCATTGAACATTGTTCAGTAGTTAGTTCTTTCCTCTCATCTTTTCATTTAGTTAGTTTTCTCCTTTCATATTCTTAGTTAGTTAGTTAGTTAGTTAGTTTCATTTTCTCATATTGTCAACAATTTTTATCTTCATTTTTTTATATATTCCCAATAATTTTCAATTTTAATAAAATGTACATACCAAAAATATACATGCATCTCGATTGTCTTTCCTAGTCGAACATCTTGTAAGCAAGATCTTGAAATCTTGCAACCGATAAGCAAGATCTTCATAAGATCCTGAAAAGATAATTTGTACGTGAGCATCTTGGTTGTATCAGATAAATCTGTATTTAAGATCTTGTCAAGATCATAGCAAAGATATCGTTTTCTATTATCTTCTCACAAGATCTTGAGTAAAAGAGCGACATCATTAGTGTTTACATGCTGACTAGTCATTCACCATTTTTTTAATGCAGATGGAGCCATATATAAGCAACGTGATTGAACATACAAAACATATCTTTACAGCATAGATTTTTTTTAAAAACTATTTCTCGAGTGTTGATAATTCGAGGACATGCTAATCTCGATCGATGATTGAGAGAGGACTACTCTGAAGCAGTCTGACGGAGATTGAACCATCTCAAGATCAGGCAGATTCCAAGATCTGACTTGCTTCAGTTATTTCGGATATGAACAATTAAAATGAAAATAAATTGAAAAAATGTCACTACATTGTTTTACAGAAAAAAATGCGCTGTTTGATAGGTTCGAACCATGCTTTCAAAATGTATTATGCATTGTGTCACAAATCACGACGCATGCAGCACGTTTTATCTTAGTATGTACCCAAGATCTTATGGATTCATACCTAAGATCTTATGAATCTGTAACCAAGATCTTACATATCTGTGCCCAAGATCTGATTCAAGATCTTGATACAAAATAATATGCTTATCTTGTACCTAAATTTTCAAGATCTGTTTACATTTTTGTACCTTGTATCTTAGCCAAGATCTTTCTTACAAGATATTTCACTAGGGTAACCACAGAAGCATTTGAATGAACGATATATCGGTATCTTGACGAGCAGAATATGATTTGATCCTCTCTCTCTCTCCCTTTTTTTCTCACTATTTCATAGGAAGAAAAATGATAAGGAATGGTTATCTTATCAGAATTCATCACTACATTTATTCCTGCATTAACATTTTTTTCTCATTACACATATTCTTGAATTTGCTTTCATAGTAACGGATGTCAATTTACATTTAATCACCATGAAAAATTCAATGTATGATATATGTGAAAGTGTAAACTCGAAACAAAACAGAATTTTCGTCACAATTTCTCAATTACTTACCCAACTATTATGTTGAATGACTCATTATGTATATATGTTCACTTATATGCACATGTCAAGGCTCATTCTTCCTTTCTTTCCTTCATTCGTCTAACGCGTATTGTAATGACGACTTTCAGTGGCAAAATTATGAAACGTGATGTACATTTGCCAAATTTTGAAGACCAAAATAAATTAGCTTTTTTGATATTCAATATTTTTACACCAGATGAATGTCAACAATGGATTGAATTGAGTGAACAACGTGGTTATAGTCCAGCAACCGTAAATGTTGGTGGTGAAATGTTACAATTAATGACTGATTTTCGAAATAGTGATCGTTGTATGATTGATGATGTGGCGATGGCTCGAACTCTTTTTCAACGAATCGAATCATTTTTACCACAAACATGGAAAAATTACCAATTAGTAGGTCTCAATGAACGTCTACGATTTCTTCGCTACGATCGTGGACAATATTTTGAGCCACATATGGGTAAGAATGTCCTCTGTTTTTTCCCTTTGGTCGACTAAATTTGTTCTTTTTCTTAGATGGTGAATTTCATCGCAATGATGGATCGAATGAACAAAGTTTTATTGTAAGTGGTAAAAATAATAATTCATTATTATTATTCTTGATGTTTTTTTTTGTTCATAGACCATTCAACTCTACTTGAACGAAGGCTACAAAGGTGGCGAAACTACTTTTGTTCATTATTCGGATTCTACTAAAAATGTTCCATGTGTTCCACGGACGGGAATGGTACTTGTATTTGAACATCGTCTCCTTCATGAAGGATCAAGATTGATCGAAGGCCGGAAATAT